GCAATTTAATGATGCCGCCAAGGGGTAGCTCACTATAGCTCCCTAAGCACCCACCAGAAGCAGCAGGGATCGACCGGCTGATCATCCCTTGAGGGGGTTTCAACGTTTGCTCAACATACGAATCATGCAGAACCCATCAGTCTGAAACGCGAGATCATGCTTGAACTGTGCCACCGTGCTCACGGCCCAACGGGCGTATACCGGCTAAGATGCCGAAAGCACCACAGGGGGTATCCGTTGCCAGCGCAACTGTTCTGATTCAAGCAACACCACGCGAGTTGCGAGAGACTATACGCAGTAGAAAGATGTTCAATCTTGGCGGTTCGGGCCTTGATCCTGCTGTGAGACCGGGATCAGATGCCGTAATGCCACAAAAACGCCTTCCTCCTTGTTGAGCGAAACAATGCGATCTAAACGTTCTGAGACTCTGAAACAATTGCTTATGCGGTTTCTCACCCCCGGATCGCAGCCGGAAGAAGTAAAATATTCAGCCCGTCCCCAAATCCCGGGACCAGCCAAATCAAGTCCGTAGTAGAGAGTTGTTCTTGAATAGCCGATCCAGTGTAACAACTCCTTACCTCAATCAGCGATAACCCCGTATAAAAATACTCTCGCACTATACGAGATCTCACCTTCCAAACAGGGCACACCGGAGATCGTAATATCCCAACACTCCTTCCTTGTCTAGCCGGTCATTTCCATTACAATATCCATTCAAAATCGTCGGCCCCGTCATTAGCTAACAAATATCCGCCCCCAGCACGAAGTAAAAAAGAATTCCAGTACCCGAGCTGGGCGCCGTAAACGGTTGATCTTCGGCTGGGCTACTTCCAAGAGTCAACCAACAATGAGTGTCTTCTGGTTGGTCATCATTCGCCTCATTGCTTTTTTGCATCTTTTCTCGAAGGCGCAGTCTTGTGATTTGCAGGGCCACGAAGACTAGCCTAGCGCCAAACCAAACTATCGGGACGGGAATTGCGGAAAGGCTCTCCGACTGTCCGGAACTCGAAACATTAGCTTAGAACTTATTCGTGATTTTGGGGTGCGGAGGAGTGACCTGTCATCTTTTGACCCCGCTTTTATTCGCTGTTGGGTTTGATTAATCCATTGCCCTCCTGCCTATTCTGGATCTCGTGATGGGACAGCTCGTGAGAAGTGGCGGGGGGTCCTTCCATCGACACTGTCAGCTGTTGAATTTCATTCCGTGCCAACCTGAGTCATGAGTTGGTAGAAAAAGCAATTCTTCCTCGAAATCAGGAATGGTCGAATTTGGAAAAACAAAGAAATGGGTCTTGTAGTGCGGAAATTGACGGCGGATATTTCTATCAGCGGAGTTCCATGAAAATGACATCTCGGTAGTTGGCGGACGTTGTCTTGTACCCACTGTCTTGTATGTCCAGCTTCGATGTGGCAATCAAAAATTAACGCGGTGTTTTCGCTAACAAGTAATTTAGTGCAGATATTTCAGGACGAATATTTGCTTCGCCAATTGTTTCCCTATTGAGTTCTGATCTAGGCGCCGTAAGCGCAGGGTTCAGATAGAGCGAACAGGACTTGGTGTATCTTTGACTGATTGGGTTTGAATTGTACTCGGTTGACTACATTGACTACAGAGAAAGAAGATAGAATTTCTGTCTCATACCGAGTTAAACTAACAACGCTATATTTAATCACTGGGGAGAGAGTCAGTCAATGCGACAGCCGTTACCCCCCCCTTCTATACAAAATGCCACAATCGAGATTTATATAGTACCTGCCGAGTCCTTATATGTATACATATCAATAGACGCTTACGAAAAGAATTCTTCTTCGATAACTTGATGTACTATGCTTAGAAAGAAGTATTGTATTAATCATCACAAAGGGGTTTGAAGACCCTAGAGCAAGAGAGTCAAGAAGTCTGACACGCAACATCGCCTCTAAGTCTGAAATATATAAGTGAAACATATTCTACTTCACTAGAAGCTGAGCGTTGAACCTATGTGCACCGTCACAGTGGTTCTAATAATTGATAGTCACAAATCCATGTCCTCCGAAAATCTTTTTTTTAAAAAAAAACAAAAACCAATATCATTATGTTTCTAGCGGGCAGTATATCCACCGTCTACAGGCAAACAAACCCCCGTTACCCAGCTAGCATCTTCGCTTGCCAAGACAACAGCCATTTTGGCAATATCATCGGGGAAGCCGGGACCTTTCAACGGGTGTCGGCGGTTGAGATCGTCCCATGGAGTAAGATTAGAAGTCGTTTCCTTGAAGATAGCGGTTTGGGTATCTGCGAAATTCGTCAGTCTCGACCGTCATGGAAAAAGGATTCTGTAACTGACATCCAGGGCAAATCGCATTAGAGTGGATTCTGTTAGGAGCATAATCCAAAGCGATCTGCTTCGTTAGCTGGCTAACAGCTCCCTTTGATGCACAGTAAGAGGCTATAAGTCCTCGGTTAGTTCTGATTGAAGGCAGTACATGCTGTAAAAGACGTACGATTTTCCGGCCCCGCAATCATGCCCATAATTGATGAGATGTTAATGATCCATCCTCGGTCCCCCGAAGCATGTGGCTCCTGTGCTAACATCTGCGCGAGAGCATATTTGCAGCCAAGGAAGACTGACTTCACATTCACTCGCATCGTCGTGTCCCAGGTTGCTTCATCGGTCAAATGAAGAACGGCCGGGAACCGCGCTTCGATGCTGATTCCAGCATTATTGACCAGGCTAATGAGAAGGTTAGAAGAGGGCGGGCTAATTAACGGCAAATTGGAGATAGACTTCATACACATCAAGTCTTCCATATGCTTTCACGGCTTCCTTTACCAATGTTTCCATTTGTGTGGCATCACCAACATCAGCTTGAACAAAAATGGCCTGCCCACTCTCCTGGACGATCAAATCATGAGTCATGATACCAGCTTCCTCTTGGGAGCGAGCCGTTGGCGTCAAATCGGCACAGACTACCTTGGCGCCCTCTTTCGCATAGCGAATAGCGATCGCTCGGCCTAGACCAGAAGAGGCACCAGTTACAATAGCAACCTTATCGTGTAGACGCAATGACTGTGCCATATTGCTTAATAGGAGGAGTTCGGGGTCGCAATGAGCGTGCTTAGAGATGGGGCTCGCAAAAAAATGAAGAGAAGAGATTGCTTATTTGGTTTGGTCAATATGGAATGATGTGCTAATGTTCTTACCTTAATAGCAATATATATTATAGAACAAATATAATTATAACGAGTCGACGATTGCCCCGTAAAGAAACCAACCACTCCGTTGTCATTTTGCGGGGTTGTTTAAATTGAGGGGCAATAACAAGTGGAGATCGATGGAGTTGGAAATCAAGCCGAGGGGGACAATATCATAAGAAGAAGCAGAGCCGAGCTTGGCCAGGCACCCGAGATGCTTGCCGCCTCCCAAAAGTCAAAGGCTCCAGTCACAGCATAGATCCATCAAGTAATTTGTCCGACAGCCACGTTATTACAAAATTAGCCTTGAAAATTTTTACGACCCCACAGGTCTGGTGATCAAAGGCGACATCTCAACTTTCTCGATATATTAATTGACTTCCCCGGCAGTCCCTACCATGATCCAAGCAAGGTATTCGCGTTTCTTCAAGTTGATATGCCTCCAACTGTCTATGTCATTCGTCACGCGCAAGGCGAGCACAATGTCAACGTACAATGTCCCCACTATCATTCAACTTGGTCAATACTAGCGCTCTAACAATGCTCATAGGACTCCCACCACCTGCGGGACGCACTTTTGACAGAGACCGGAAAGCGTCAATGTAAAGAGCTTCAGGAGAAGTTTTCGTTCCTTCAGGACGTTGAAGTTATCCTCACATCTCCACTCCGACGCACTGTCCAGACTGCCGCCCGCACCTTCGCGCCTGAATTAGAGAAACGACAGATACCCATAGTCTTGGTTCCCAAGGCACAAGAGATTAGTAGTCTAGCGTGCGATGTTGGCCATGACGCCGAAGTCACGATTACAGAGGCCCCAAAGCTAATTTCCGACGCTGCCCCTTCATGGGATGCGTCAAATTTGGACACGACGTTGGTCGACGATTCTTGGAACTCAAAGGTAAGTCGATTCGCTCCGTCATTCAGAGACGCAACGCACTTAGTGACTCATAGAAAGGAATTTACGCGTCCAACTTGTCGGCAGTACATCAGCGGGCCGCTGAAATGCGTAACTGGATTTACAACCGACCAGAAAAGCATATCGCCCTCGTAACTCACGGGGGCTTCTTACACTACTTTACCGAGGATTGGAGAGGCTACGTGAAGGGCAAAGGTAGGTTCCCCAAGACCGGTTTATGTCCATTCGGACCTAGCTGACTATTTCTCTCATATAGGAACTGGCTATTTGAATTGTGAATACCGAAAATTGGAATTCACTGAGGACTCCAACGAAACAGAGTCGCATCTTCATGAATGTGGGAGCACGCTGGAAAAACACGCTAGACCAGCTGGCCTGGACGATCATTTGTTCCATGAGTCAGAAGAAGTGGGGGAAGCGCTCATGATCAGAAAAGAGATTTCAAAACAGGAAAGATAGGAAGACATGATTATACTCTAACGTTGCTTAAAGTAGTCAATCCTTAACGTCTTGACAAGGCTGCATTTTTTTTTTCGAATGGCCGGGAGCTAGTGACAGAGAGTATGGAAATTGGCCTGCAAGAGCTCTTGGTTACCTTCACTTGCTTAGACTTATTCATAATAACATCAAACTTACCAACATTATGCTCGATGAAGAGGGTACACCTATACTCATTGACTTCAATAGTTGCCGAAACTTTGGGGAGTCCTTACGCAACGCCGAAACAAAAAGAACTCATCACTGGTATGACCCTGCTGTGAAAACTTCGATCGAAAAGAACGACATTGATGCCTTTAAAGATCTGCAAACTTGGCTGACTGAATTCACGAATGAAGACTTTTTTTTTCTATGAACACTTGCATATGGAGTACCATCATCGTGCTAGTCAACGCGGGCGGGGCGAGTCTTTCACTCTCTGTTGCCAAACACCTTATCATAGCCAACCAGCGTGACTCGATATCTAACATCACCATTGTACACTTTCTCCACAGCGGTTTTGCATCCCTCCTCACCGATATCGATTGTCTCAACCCAACTGTTCTTGTTAGACTGCGAAGTTGTATTTCCCAGCTTTAAATCTTGAACTCACCTCTTGATATCAAGTTTCGCGGCCAACTGAAGCATTTCCTGGGCCTCTTACCTGCTACCAATATGACTAACAGCAATCGAGCCATTGCCCATCATGTCCTGTGTTCCGAGAGGCGGGAACTCCTTGTCCGAAATACCAACGGTGTGGAATGTACCGTTGATAGTTCGGAGACTGAAATACGCAGTCATGTCGAAGGGATCCGTGGCATCAGTTGTGTTGAGAATAAAGTCGAAATTGTTTCTCCAGGGCAAATTCCAGCCCTTATTCTTGGTACAAATGAAGCCTTCAGCACCGAGAGCCTTTGCATCAGCTTTTTTGTTTGGAGAATATGAGATTGCATATACTTCGGCGCCCAAAGCTGCAGCAAAAAGAATACCGAAGTATCCCAAACCGCCGCTTGATAAAGCGTTAGATATGAGTTCTAACTTTCTTCGAGAGAAATTGAGCGCTCACATTCCAACTATTCCAACCATTCTTCCCGAGCCAATTTTGGCGCGAAAGAGGACTGCAAGAGGTGATACCAGCACACAGCATTGGTGCTGCAAGGCTGGAGTCCAAGCTTTCGGGAATCGCAAAGACAAAATATTAGTGTGCGCGGATGTGGCTTGCGTAGCCACCATATGCCATAGACTTGTCGGGATAGTAACAGTTATAGGTGTCTTCAAATAATTATCAGGAATAGATCTGAAGCATTGCTGGTAAGATCACTTACCAACTTGGTGAGGGCAGTAGATTTCATTGCTTGACTTGCATATTTTGCAGTCGAGACAGGCCCATACCTGGGCACCAACACCAACACGATCGCCAACATTAACGGTGGTAAATGCTGGACCGATAGCAACCACATTGCCAATGGCTTCGTGTCCTACACACACAGGAAGTTTTGCTTGGTTCCAGCCTTCGGTGAGGGTGTGGACGTCACTCCCACACACCACACGCCTCAATGGCAATCTCAACATTCCGCTCTGTAAGAGGTTTAGGTTCAAACTGCAGGTAAAATTTAAGCCTCTTGTTGGTATAAGAAAACAAACATGAGAACAGACATGAAAGAATACATACTTCTTGTTTCTGGAAATGACTCCATTGCTCATTGGAGTTAACCATGAAATCTTCAAAAGTATCCGGATAAACCATCTCTGACGGCAAAAGTGAAGTAGAGGGCGGGTATGAGTAATTGGAACTGAGAAGGAATTTTATTTCCAGGCTTTATACTTATATTCTATGGCTATCGTACTTTGTTTTCAAGACTTGGCTTTGTTATACAACACTCCCCTCGGCACAACTTCCTCATTGACTGGACAACACCTAGATCACCAGGAGAAGTTGCTACTCTGGGATGCTTTCACCACAGTTGACGATTGATACGAGGGAAAACACACGCACTCAAGATGAAAATGAAGTCGAAGAGTTGGCACACGATGTGATAATTCATGTCCGCTCGGTCCGCTCGGTCCACTCGGGAGGCTCGGGATTGTTACCATATCGAGTGAAGCCCTCACATAGCCGTGATGGCTACGTTGCTAGGATACTGTACTACACACTGATATTATGACCTATGTATGATATCAGGTACCCCGCATTACAACCAACAGTGAATAATGATATCTCTCGGCTTCATTTCCATGTCGGGATCGACAGTCCAAGTCGTGGTCAGAGAAGTACCTTGTATATCTCATTGAATGCCATGTTTATAAATTTGGCTTGCTCCTTTCTTGAATTACTTCATATTCTTCTCTCTTCTCAATCTCAAGGACGTCCCAACGCAATGTCTATCGATACAGATGTTCTGATTATTGGAGCAGGCCCATCTGGCCTAGGCATGGCCGTCCAGCTCGTACGCAACTTCGGGACAAGAAATTTTGAAATCATTGAGAAGACATGCGATGTTGGTGGAACATGGTTTGTTAACTCGTATCCAGGATGCGGGTGTGATGTTAGTACTTTTATTGATAGACCATCTGCGCCTCTTGCTTACTGAACTTCATTAAACATTTAGGTTCCATCGCACTTTTATTCTTTCTCGTTTGCTCCGAATCCTTATTGGTCACGTAAATTTGCTTTACAGCCAGAGATTCATCAATACTTGGAGTCCGTTGTCAGCCAGTACGATATTCGTCCCCATGTGAGATTTCACTCTGCCGTTGTATTGGCCGAGTACGATCCCGAGACGGCGACCTGGAAAGTTGTTATTGAAGATCAGAGAACGAAACGCAAATTCCAAAAGCGTTGCAGGATTCTTATATCAGCCGTCGGCGCCCTTTCGGTCCCAAAAAAATGCGATATTCCAGGGACCGAAAATTTTAAGGGTCGCTTGTTCCACTCAGCTCAATGGGATCACGAGTTCGATTATAAAAACAAGGAAGTGATCTGTGTTGGTGAGTGATGTGCCCATATCCGATTTTCCTCGCAAGAAATATCTACTCACTGGTAGAAATCAGGTAATGGGTGTAGCGCCACACAGTTTGTGCCAGTTATGAGTACTGGTCCAAACAAAGTCAAGAGAATCACTCAATTTTCCCGTCAAGCTCACTGGCTATCTGAGAGACCGAACCCTGAATACTCTTCCACTTTCCAATTCTTGATGCGCTGGGTGCCCGGAGCCCGACGCCTCTACAGAGCGTATCTCTTTCTCATGCAAGAGAAAGATTTTGCTGGCTTCCACATGCAAAATGGCCAGAGCCTACGAAATGACTGGATAGCCGCTGCTACAGAGTATATTCGGAAAAACTGTCCAGCCAAATATCGGGACTTTATAGTCCCAGACGCCGTCATTGGCTGTAAGCGAAGGGTGATGGACACGGACTATCTTACCTGCCTGCACCGAAACAACGTTGAGCTAATCTATGATGATCCAATCGACCATATCACAGATAGTGGAATCCTGACCAAGTCTGGTAGAGCCATAAATTGTGATGCGATCGTCCTCGCTAACGGTTTTGAGACCCAGAAGCCATTGTTCCCAATGGAGATCCGTGGGCAAAACGGGCAAGATATTGCTGATCACGTAAGTGGTCCTACTGGAAGCCTAAATGAAAGATAATTAACTCCTGAGCAGTGGCTTGAGTTTGCGGATGGCTCCCCGGAAGCTTACTTTGGAACATGTCTGTCGGGGTTTCCAAACTTTTTCATCCTGATGGGACCAAATACACTTTCTGGACATTTGTCTGTGCTCTATACCACTGAATGCCAGATAAATTTCATCGTTCGGGTCATCCGTCCGAAATTGAATGGGCTCAATCCCTCATTGCTGCCTTCGTTGCTGAGAATCGAATACCCTGAATCCGTTGCTGTTACTCCGATGGCAGAGCGTAAGGACGTTTCTATGACCGATCATAAAGCGAAGCAGTTGGTCTGGGCCACTGGCTGCACTTCATGGTTCATTGATCCCAGCACCGGGAGAAACACCATCATGTTCCCGGATTGGCAATTCAAGTTCCACCTTCGCAGTATCTTCATCCCGTGGGCAGATTTTGTTTACAAAAGGTCTCCCAAGAGATCTCCTCAAGAAGTTGCAGTTGTTCCGCAGTATTCCCTGTCGGTTGCTGCGGGAGGCATCGTGCTCGTTGGAGCCCTGCTTGGGCTATCCTCTTTGGGGAGCTTTAACTCGTCGACACTAGCCCCCTTGTAACAGTATGTTTCAAAATTTCTTCATGGATTATATAGAGCTCCACTTGAGGTGACGAAAGGATACTTAATCTAGATTTTCATGGGTTGAATTGAGTTTTCTGTGGATTTGAAAGAGAGCAACTAGTCACTGTAATTGAGTCCTCCAGCTGTAACCCACACTAAGAAATAAACCAGTTAGAGTCGTGGCCCTGTTCATCGCGGTCAAAGTGATTGCGTTCACTGCTCTTTGCCCACTCATCCTTTAACTTGGCCACATGATATCGAGTAGTCCAGCCAAGATCCTTTTCAATTCCAGAAAGTAATTCCAGAACAGCGTCCTGCTCGCAGCGCTCTTGGAAGACTTGCCCAGCGACAAACAAGGCTTGCACAGAATTGACTCTAAAAGGATCGGTTGAATTTGCAAGACTTATCCCGCAAACCTCCCGGGCATGATAGACGACTTCTCGAAGAGCATGTCGATAGGATCTTAAACGTGCTGATACGGTTGACCGAATAGCTGTGGACTCCTGAGGCTCGTTCGCAAATAACAATATCTTCGCTTGATGATAGCTCTGCATTGAAGCTGCGCATAGTGGCAGGTCAAACCAGATCTGGTCGAAGGTATCAAAACTCAGCTCAAACCCCGAAGCTGCGCTACCCAGTCTCCGCGTTCGAGCAGTTGGAATGAATGTTGCGGGAAGAGAGTCATGCCATTTCTCTAGATCAGCCATTAACAAATTCCATCGTTCCAGGAGGTGCTCCTGACTCAACCCGACCAGGGGCCGCTGGTGGCGTGGCAAAGTTTTATTTGATGGAACTAAAGCGTCTCCTGCCGTCAGATGGTTTGCAATTTTACCCAGAATCCACGTGAGTTCATTGCTCTTCATGTCTTCCTCGAGCCCAGAGGTATTTTGATTCTGCATTACATCTGATGGACTGTACGGTAGAATCTCTCCATTCTCGTCCGTGGCTAAGCCCGCATTCTGCCAGAGGCGCATGTCTTGCAAATTCAATCGAGTTGGAGTTTCGCTTATGACTGAGTCTTTGGTCAGGATAAATTATCCACGTGGGCAAAATGATGTCGAAACTCACAGGCACATAACAAGTCCTGCCTCGCTAAACTCCAGAATATTGGGCCCTTGACGGCCGTCTGGGGAATTATGATTGAAGAATGCACTGGCACAGAAGCAGCTCTATCATCGAAGAGAGGTAGGGCGCTTAGATGAGCTCTCCATGCACTCCCCGGAGCATCCATCAATTCGAAAGAGCACAGAATGGCGACAGCGGCGAGCATTTCTTCCTTACCCTGTAGGGTGTGGGAGTACGATTCTGAACTGACAGCAATCTTGAGATGACCAAGAGCTTGGTCGTAATATCTTGCTGAGTGATATCGCCACATTTCTTCGTTTGAGAAAGGTAGGCCGCTATACTTGGGAACAGACCCGGGGTCCACACCGGCTTGACTCATGACTCGACAGACATGTCGAAGATGCTTTGCAGATAGAGCACAAACTGCCGATTTCAGCAAAAGTTTTGATGTCGCGATGACAGGCACTTTGGATGAAAAATAAGACGTCGTATCGAAAAGATCCATCCTTTGGAATCCTTAGCACCTAATTTTGGCTAAACCATGTTGTTGATACATACCATTGGCCAGGCTCCTGCTTGAAGTGTCGCAATAGGTATGCAATGAGTACATTTTCCAACGGCTCCTGTGATCGATTGGTGCCAAAAACCGGGGAAGCGTGCTCTCGCGGTGAGCAGTGAGCGGTAATTGGTGTATGGTGGAAGGAAGATGTCGCCGCAAGAATATCATGTGCGATTGGGTGGGATTCAAGAGCCCGGTTTTCTTCACTAGCCTCTCTAGTCCTATCTATGATGCCATTATCTTCCGAGTCCGCCGTTGCATCTCTTGCCTCTGCGACCCTTGAGCTCTCTTCATCCCAAGGGTCTCGCACCTGGACGAATGTGACTAATCTATATGAGCATATGAAGCTGCATATGAATTCGAAACGTACATTGAGCTGGAAGATCAACCCAGGTAGTCGACTCCCTGGACCTAGTGGCCCGCCGAACTACTCGATCTGGCGTTGAGCCAACCTCCTGGCTACGGAAGATAGACCGATCTCCATAAGCGCAGTCACGCGACGCTTTAATGCATTTTCTGCATTCTGGCTTCGTTTCATCGCATTTCAACTTCCTTCTTTTGCAAGTCAGGCTAATTCGTGAGTCAGGTTAGTTTGATGAAAAGTAAGGGTCGGTAAAAATAACGATAATGGAGGGAATCGTGCACGTACCAGCCGGAGTAAGAGCGCATGCCTCCTAGCAGGGATTCAACAAGGTCTCAGCTTTGCTCAGAGAAGAGTCCGGAATTTTGAAAGCCGACGAGAGAGGCACGTCGAAGTGAGGCGAGAATTGCGATAAAAACGGCGAAGTTGCCGAAGCTCACGTGATGGTAAACTCGGCTCGATTACGACGTTTGGCAGTAGTCAGTTATGTTGGAACAGAGATGAGTATCCAGTTAGGTACACCAATAGGACATCGCGAATATCTCTGGGGGAGAGGGACAAGCCTAGAGCTGTAAGCTAATGCCCAATTAGGATCCGAAACCGCCGCATGGCGATCAGCGATAGTGATCACGAAACAAATCTTACTGTCAAGCCTTGCCTGCAAGTTTATGTATTGGTAATGTCTAGATCATGTTACTAGCCTGGACATTAAACAGGCAAAGTTGGTAGACCCTTACGGGTCAGGCTTAGGAGACAAACTGGGTCGTTGACTGCAAGACCTAACAAGACATATATGTCGTTCAAGTCGCGAGATAACTTGAATACTTTGGCCTGCTAAACCCTTTGAGAAGTGTCGATACTGCTTTGTAAGCAGACTGATGCCCTTTTGTTTCATCGAATCGAGGTACATATTGGTACTACAATGATGTTCTAAGTGATCTCGCCGAACCAGTGGAAAGGCAGGAATGCTGGATGTATCCACGAAAATGACTCTCATTCCCGGAATAATTACTTAAAAGACAAACAAGTACAGTCCCTTTCCTGAGAACATGTGTCTAATTGCAAGCAGACTGATTGAACTCACAGAATATAAGACATTTGGGGTTATCTGGCAAATAGCATTTAGGAGGTCGAGTTCTTGGCACTCAATCTGTAGCATGACGTAGCCTCCAATCGATCGGCACTGAAGTACAAAAAACCTGTATGGTGCACCATGGAATGCTGTCATTCAATCCGTTTGGGATTTTTTTGTACCAAAGGGGTGCAAAGGGGTGTTCTAGCCCCAAATTCCAAAAACTTGTTAAATTAGACATAGGCCACATTTCTTGAGCCCGGTTCGCCGAAGGTAACCATTTGCCTTAATAGAGGTTCGGCCGCACCTACTCGTTCAAGCGATGGGTCTAACCTATATTTATCACAAATCGATTGCGATTTTCTTGCGAGGTCTTGTTCGATATAGATTAGATCTTCATCCAAAACCGGACGAGACCATATTCATCCCGTCGCGGGATGCTGGCCGGAACATCAAAGCCCACGTCTACAAATCAGTCGAAGAGAAACAGAAGCAACCCAGCCCAGTCCTGATCAACTTTTGCGGGAGTGGCTTCGTCCTCGGTACTTTTGGCACTGACGATGAATTTTGTCGATCTATCTCAGACAACACGGACTATACTGTGATTGATGTACAGTATCGACTTGCGCCCGAACATCCTTTTCCCTCGGCTTTCAATGATGCCGAGGACGTCGTGACATGGGTGCGATCATTACCAGAACAGTTCGACACCTCCTGCATCTCACTGTCGGGTTTCAGCGCAGGAGGTAATATAGCTCTCGCAGTGTCTTGTTCATCCTCGCTCGTCCAATCGGAAGCTAGTCCAGATGTCTTCCGCGCAGTCATGGTGTTCTATGCCCCAGTTGACATGGCTGTTCCAACACCACAAAAGCCACTGGTAGATCGATCAAACTTTATTATGCGAAAAATCTTCCCAACCTTCTCACATTTGTGTCACAAATGTCTGAATTTTGCCGGGTTTGATCCCAAGGATCATCGATTGTCACCATTCTTTGCCGATCCAAGCAAATTCCCCCCGAATATATTGATGATCACTGCTGCCCAATGTGCTTTTGCTATTGAGGTAGAGAAACTGGCAGAAAATATCCGCAACGTCGATGGTAAATATGTTGTTTGCAAGAGAATGGACGGTTGTGCCCACGGATGGGACAAGGAAGCCATTCAAGGCACACCCCAGGCCGAGGCGAAAGACGAGGCATACGAAATGGCAGCAAACATGTTACGAAGAAGAGAAATGGGAGCTGAAAAGCCCTCGATGACGAAGGTGTGAGATTTGATTTCGATGTGTGTCTGAGCAATGGCTTGAAATTCCTGCTCTTTAGCGACCTTGTTTTCTATGGCGATGTTACCATCTCTATGACACACCCCATATACCCAGGGGATCGAGGCTACCAGACCGGCTTCTCTGGGCCTGTAAAACTTTTACGCGCTTCACAAGCGTTCCAACACAGATCGGACCAATGATAGTGCACAGTGTAATTGCCCATACAACCACCAAGTAGATTTCCGAATTACCGTTAGTGGTGTCTTTGTCCGGCTGTGCGAATAATCCACTTTTTTCCGCCACAGAAGCAATCAGATATCCTATTTCGCCCCTGGCAATCATCGCTAGTCCGACGATGGAGGCTGGATACAACGAGCGGGTCTGTTTGCCTGGTACAGTGTTCTCGGATAGTGTTGGAGGGCGGACTTCAGGCCCTGCTGGTTGCTGAGATGTCGGCGTACTAAGGGCCTCGCGGGATGGGCGGGTAGCTTTCTTTCCTGTATTGCTTCGACCAGGGACTTTTCTCTCATGTTCTTGTTTGCGACGCGAAGTGCACCAGGCAATCGGGACTTTTGCTGCCCGTTTCAGCTTCACCAGGCCGGATACTGGGCTGATTGTAATGGGCAACAGCCAGACACCAGTAACGATTTTCGCAAGTGCCATAAGTAAGGTATACACAATACCTCGCCAAACAACCTGGCCTTGAAACATCTGCGTTATCGGAATAGCAAAGCCAATCGAGGCCTGTTCAGTCAGCACGTTGTTTCAAGGTTGCGTAGGAGGGCCAAGTCACTCACGAAAAAGAAAGGGCATGGAAAAACACGAAGAGGTTGTTTGCAGTACGAATCGAAAGTCTGCTGACCTGAAGCCATTCGAGAATTCTTCTCGTTCTCAAGACTTGTGGATGAATCTGGATTCGGTGCGCCGCTCCCTTGGGATTGAGCTTGAATGCCACTGTTCGAGGCTCGGGGATTCATCTCAATAGAAGGTTGCGAGCTCTTTTCGAGATAAATGAGGAGGTCATCAAACCAGGAGATACAGGCGCCGGCGAGATATGCTGCAAAAAGTCCAGAGGTACCCGCATATGACGCTCCAGTCACCAAGACCATCAAAGTAGCCATGTGCAGAACGAACGCGACCTGGGCATCTTTGCCTTTGCGCAACAGGATCATATTTGCTGTTCGTAGCTTTTTTACGGCTGGTTTAACCACGAGGCCGCAGACAAGAACAATCCCAAGAGCAAAGCCAATAGCCACACAAATTGGGCGGACAATGGTCACTGCGCTGAATGATCCAGTCGTGGAACTGCCCAGGTTTGAAATGATTTGGACCATGACAAGGCCTGCAACATGATCCATCATTGCAGCACCGCTAAGTACAGTTCCTAGTCTCGAGTTGTCCAGGCCGGTTGTGGAGAGAATAGTAAAGGTAGTTCCGATGCTTGTTGAACACAGCGCCGCTCCAGCGCCAAATGCTTGAAGGGGTGTTGCATCCACAAGCCGCATCAGTACAAATGACAAGCCCATTGGAGTCACCACATCCGTAAATGCGGCAATTGCTGAGAGGAGAAGATTCGCCTTCAGCTGCTTGAACGATGTTGCAAGTCCCCCTGCGTTGAATGTTAGCTGAAAGTCCACATACAAAAGCGTTGTTGCGCAAAAAGATAATCGAAAACAAAAATAAAAACATACAACAGCCAGGATTCGCATGTGGTCACCCACCATGCTACTAACTGGCCGGCGTGTGGCTTATCTGCGGCAGATAGTCGGGTGGCTGCCGCCCGGGTGAGTTTAGGGTGAGCGCCGCTTTAAGGTCGTGCGACCAGGGTGAGATAGGGTGAGTGCGCAATAGACAGGGTGAGAAGCCGGGTGAGAGCGGGTGATTCTCACCCTCCGTCGCGCGACCACCGCACTGACCCTCCCAGCTGGGCTCAGAAACAGTGTTATTGGCTTACCTTGGCCTGGCTGAAACCGCGGTCTCTTGGCACTTGCATATACCGTTGAATCCCAACCCAGGATTGGCCAAATTAACGGCGAGGCTGACTTCAATGTCGCCTTGGGCCAAAGTAGTTTGCTTGATGTCCCGGCCACCAACATGATCTGGACAACAATCAACATCTGTATGGCATAGCTAACTTCCGCGGGTTGACATGTCCACATCACGTAGCAACACCTGTGTTGTCCATCTTCGACCTGCTTGTGAGCACCAGTTCGTACTTAAGCCGTGTGCCTATGGTCAATCATGGTTTTACAACGGCTAGCATACGCAGAAAAGTCGTGAGATACACCAGCACCAACTCAATGACTGCTGATAGCTAATCAATACCACGTGACTCTTCCACTATGTCCACTCCTAGCATAAAGGAAACTCCTTAAACTTCTCTAGACCTCTCACGTCTCCTATGGCAGCTTGATTTACTCCCCCCGGGAATATGTTCTTATGCCTCCTCTCTCGCACCACAACCAACGAAAAAAAAGCTGTTGTGTATATTCTTTACATGGTCGTGACCTCAATCAAGGCATGAAATGCAACAAGCGGTAGGGACAGGTTGGAACAATTGAGAGCCAGAACATACGAAGCTTCATATATATTCATTGCAGCCCTCGCTCCCTATGGCTAGGTTTACCACTCATGCTGTAGGGGAACTCAATGTGGATAAGCGGAAGCCACATTCGGCGAGTGGCAATGAAGTCCAGCTAGATTGCTCTAATCATGTATTCACCAAGCTGTACAGCTCACGTCTCCAGAGTGACCACCGCTGGGCTGATTGCAAAGGTTTTCAAGCAGATGAAATGCTTTGAGGACAAGGTCATGGTGCTTTCACAACTTCTGCACCAACGGCAGCGCCGACGGCAGGGGTTTGAGCCCTTCAATTTGAGTCGTGACGATACATGACAATAGAGCCAAAGGATGATCCAAACCCGACGCCTTCACCGGGACGCGTCTTCACATAGCCGGCTGCCCATTGACAGAGCCGGTACACTTGATCAGGTTAATGGAAAGAATGGCAAGTGGAAGCACAGGTGGGTCATCCATCATGAGGCTCTTGGAACGTATCCAAATCAGGCAAGCCGTAACGCTCCCCACGATTCGATTCTAGTCGGGAAGCGCGTTTGGAGAATTCAAGTGACGAAGAAAAGAGGGACCACCTGTCTATTAGGCAGTCCCTACCCCGAGGATTGGGAATGCAGCCGCTGTTATCGACCAATGTGCGTACTACTTAAGAGGTGCATTAGGCCGTAGAGCTCACATTCATATTTCAAAACCTGTTAGTAATGGCAGCGTCATCTGTTCACGTTGATCAGCTCTTCCCTATTGATGGATCCGTCACGAAGTCGCGAGACCGCTTGATCATTAAGACTTCGCATCCCAATCCATCATTGCAGGTTACTGCCGACCACCAGCTCAAATCGGTCGAAGCACCAGTCTATGCCCCACGTGAGGGAGAAGTCCTTGTCCACATCAAAGCCACCGGTATCTGTGGATCAGATATTCATTTCTGGAAGACCGGTCGTATTGGATCGCTTGTCTTCGAGGACGACTGCATTATCGGACATGAGGCATCGGGGATTGTGTTGAAGTGCGGCGAAGGAGTGACCAACCTCAAGCCTGGTGATCGCGTCGCGATGGAGCCCGGAGTGCCTTGTGAGCAATGCTTCTTGTGCAATGAGGGTCGGTATAACTTGTGTGAGGATGTTCGATTTGCGGGTGTTTACCCCCACGCCGGCTCAATTCAACGCTACAAGATACACCCCGCTAAGTGGTTGCATAAGCTGCCTGATAATGCCAGCTTTGCCGAGGGTGCTCTTCTCGAGCCTCTCTCGGTTGTCATGCATGGTATTAAGACGACGGGTCTCAGTCTCGGCCGAGGGGTTGTTGTATGCGGCGCTGGGCCTATTGGTTTGATTGCACTGGCCGCAGCTCGTGCTTCGGGAGCTCATCCTATTGCTATCACCGACTTGGAACCCTCACGATTGGCATTTGCTAGAGAGCTAGTTCCTTCTTGTATGACCTATCAGGTGGACCTCAATAAGGACGCTGCTGGTAATGCCCAAGCTCTCCGGGCGTTGTTCGGGGCCTCGGAGTATGATGCTCCCGAGACAGTCCTCGAGTGCACCGGCGTGGAAAGCAGTGTATGCACGGCTGCATATACCGCTCGTCGTGGAGGTACAGTAATGGTTATTGGGGTGGGAAAAGCGACCATGAATAACCTTCCGTTCATGCACATCTCTCTCGCCGAGGTAGGTCATTATAAAAATTTCTCAAGTCTTATGTCGATGGTTACTAATTACTTCAGATCGACCTGCGTTTCATAAACCGCTATAGGGATACCTGGCCATCAGCCATTCAGTGCTTGAGTGGTGGAATTCTGGACTTGAAGAAGCTTGTCTCGCATGTGTTCCCCCTTGTGAAGGCGGAAGACGCGTTGCATCTCTGTGCTGATACGCGGAATGGCAGCGTTAAGGTGTTGGTTGTTGATGAGCAGGATGCATCACTGTGAAAGTGTTGGACAGTAGGCAAATACTGAATACTCACATTTGAAGCTATAGCTAGTTCTGTCAATAGCCGGATTTCCGCAGTCGCCATAAAAATCCTATTGTTCGTCTCATCCAAATGGGATCACGTAATGAAACTAGGGTGATTCACTGTGAGATCGGTTATTACAAGACATGGATAGACTTTAATCGACTTCGAAGCTCACAATGGCCGGCTCCTCTTTCCAAATACGGACGTGATGGCCGGGCTCGTCCCGACAGTAGTCAATGCGAGCGAAGATAGTGGTTCAAGAGTCAACAAGAAATCTCTAGACAAGTTGTCAGTGCTATTTAACGAGCATCAGTCCGAAGGACGAGCTTTATACAGAAGCAATCAATCACTAACCCTCCTGGGTCTTAGCCACCAAAGCTCCCTGCACGTCGGGATTTAGCGCAAAGTAAATCCCGTAATCTTCGATAGTGACTGCGGACAATAATATTTCTTCATAGGACCATGTGATCACCCTCAGAGCAGGTCATCGGACAAACACTGTAACTTACGAAGCGAGGCTAATATAAACAAGCCGCTGATCCAGGACATGTGAGATCTTCTCAATCGAAAGCTACGACAACGAAACATGATTTTGACGAGAAAAATGAAAGTCTTAGATTGAAATATACAATGTGCGACTTCCGCTTCTATTGATTTATTTAATGACCCTTCGGCAAAAGCTGGAAGAAGTAAAGTTCTCACATAACAAAAGCTCCTTGGAAGCTACTGACTTTCTCAAACTCAAAGATAATCCGTAAGCCACTTCCCGCCCGCCAACCAACTTGCTTCCTCAAACATCTTAGCGGTACCCGCGAGCGAGGTAAAGGACCATGTCAATGCACCCAAAGATAAAGCAATTCCAATGATTGTCACGGCGAAACTGTGGTTTGGCTGACTTGCTTTAACTTCGAAGTCTGACCAGCGTGGGAAGACAGTGCGCGCCCAGTACTTATACATGGGGTCGGGGTAGATGAACGTGTTCTTCTTCGTGACGGGGTCCATCCACCAGCTCTGGCAACCGCTGTTGAATACAAGTCCCTGAAGCTTCTTATGTACCCAGGTGAGGTCGCGCTTCTGTGCCATCTGCTTGACCATGATAGAGTCAGCCTGCCCACCCAAGACCTTGCGCAGGAGGCGGCACGAGTAGTTGATCTGACATTCCGAATGGAAGATGACAGAATGCTGACCAGTAGCAGCATTGGGCCCGTATAGAATGAAGAAGTTCGGGAAACCAGTGACTACGGTGCCTTTATAGGCCTCGGCACCGCCAGACGCCTCCCATATCTGATGCAAGTCCCTTTCCCCGACGCCTTTGACCTCGATAGGATGGAGCCACTTCTGAGTGAGAAACCCGGTGGCGTAAATAATAGCATCTGCAGGGTATCGGTCTCCTGCTTCGGTAACCACGTGGTCTGGACCGATCTTGACGACGCGATCCTTGGTCAGGCACATCTGTGGCGAATGCAGCGAAGCGAGGTAGGTTGCAGTGTTGACTCGGCGTTTGCAGCCAGGCTCATAGTTGGGTTTCAAAATCTCACGATATTTCGAGGGAGCATCATTCTCGATATAGGCATGGGTGGCGTCTCGAGTTTGCTGACGCATAGCCCTACCTCTCGCGTTCATGTGGAATGAGAAAAACACGCTCTCCAGTTCCCATGCCAAGAGCAAGCGGTACGCACGAGCTGCAAATGGCACATATTTCATCATCATCTTAAAAGTTTCAGAGTACTTCGGGTTTCCCTACTCAAAATTTAGTACAATGTAAGGACGACGTGGGAAGTGATGGAAGGCCAGGGAGAATATTACTCTTTTCGTCCACCAATGGGCACTTCGAACAAACTGAGTGACACTTCCTTTTGGGCCAACCTCCCTCACCAACTCGGGAACAAACTGGGTGGCTGATGCGCCATTACCCAGGACGACAATGTCTTTTCCTTGAGGTTTCAAAGTGTCATCCCAACGCGCACTGTGGAAGGTTTTGCCCGTGAACGTTTCTGATCCCTCGATTTCAGGAATGAAAGGACGATCCAGTGTGCCAACTGCACTGACTACCACGGGAGCTTCTCTTGTGTACATCTCTCCACTGATTGTGTCCTGAAATGTACACACCCACAAAGATCGAGTGGAGTCCCAGACCAGGTTAAGACACATGGCGTTGAATCGGCAGTGAGGGATGATTTCGTACTCCTCAGCGACAGACATGAAATCTTCCGCCTCCGTCAGCCACATGCGGTCAAAATAGGATGGGACTCTCGGAAGAGAAAGCTTTTGACATCTTGAACTTACATCCATGTAACTCATCACGTCCCGGATACATGGTCGTCCAATCCGGCTTCAAAGCAAAGCTAAAAGAGTAGAAGTGGCTGGGAATATCACAAGCGCATCCGGGATACCGATTGTGCCACCAGGTTCCCCCGATGTTATCGGATTTCTCATAGATAGTAAAATTGTCATGCCCAAGCATACGCTTCAATTGCACTGCCATACCGAGACCGGAGATGCCTCCACCGATGATGATAACTTCCTTGGACGAGTTCATAGTGCAGGAATCGATTTTCTTGCTGTCGGCGTTCCAGTACTGGGGTTCAGAGAAAGAATGGCACGTTGGACAATGATTTCTGGGGCGAGCGAAGGCAAAATGATATGGGGATGGAGAGAACTATTTATGTTTCATCTTGATGCTTTCAAATGTTTTCATCCTTCTCTGTCGTCTCCCCGGCTCTCCTCTGCCGATGGAGCAATTCAACAGTATAACTCCGGGGTGACAACTTCGCTCATTATCCTGCGGCGGCTGCGCTTGCATTTGCCTGGGTTGGGAGTGCTCCGCCGTAGGCGTCATGCCCCGCAGTTTTCGAATCTGGGGGACGTTGGCCCTCGTATTCTGGAGCCCGCCCCGGTTTGGGTTATGTAATACGGTAAATGGGGGCTGTCACCGCCCCGCGCGCTGGCATAATAGCAACCCCAACCGCTCTTCCTGCAATTGAACATCTCTCTGCATTTCGAGGAGGTTTTATTCTCCCATTACCGAGATAAGCCCGAATCGAGAACTCGGCAGACATCTGATGCGCTCCACACGAACCAGGACGCGGTCTGGATGGTAATGTGCCTCTCCAAAACCAAAATCCACAGCGGCAAACTGATGCTATTAGCAGTCTGCCTTGTCGCAGCCGCCGCAGAAAATGTATCACGAGACTTTGGGTTGTTTGCAGTTAAGCCAATGAACCAGCTAACATAGTCAGGTGACGAAAGGCGCCCCACGTGTCGAAGCTGTGAGACGCGTGGTTATATTTGCCAGTGGGGCCTAAAGGCCTCCTTCCATCCCTCTCGTAGCCTCCGGCTGTCGACTCCCGATAGGGCGACCCTACTAGCTATTGAGAGAGGGCGGCAAACCACGACCGACGAAACACGCGGCAATCATCTGAGTTCGCCCCTGGAGCCTTCCACGTCAATCGTGAGTGTCTCGCAACTCTCCTGCGCTTAATTGTGTTATCTCTCTTTGGCCACCGCAGCATTGCTGCTGCTGCCGCTAGTGATTATATGGGCACATTTTCCCATGGCTTCATCTGTCTGCGCCTAAGCAGTCTCCGAGATGAGCAGCCTATTAGCCCCCATGCTTTTGGAAGAAAGAGCTCTAACCAATAATTCCTGTCTAGATTATAGACGATACAGAGGAAGTAGTCAAGTGCTATCAGGACTGTCATGATGCATCTTCATCAACCGATTCAGAACCCGTCTTGGATGAAGAGCCAACATTAAATGCGATAGACACGACTCTGTGTCCTTCGGGCAACGTGCATTTCCCACTTGGTCTGATCTCACATGACACTATCCAGCCGGACACCACTCTCGACAGGACCCCTGATAACGAGGCCGCCAATGAAAGCTTCCTGCCATCACCTCAGACAGGGACTGTAAGTGGGATTCACGAGGTAGGCGGACTGTCATACAATGATCAGGTATCAGCGGTGCAGTTCGCAGTCAGTCCTGCCTCGTATGTGTTACCATTCTCGTTGGGGCAGGCTGTGTCCCGGAACGCGTCGCCATTACCGGAGCCCTCGAAACCCGTGACAGACGTAGAGTGTGCTCGCTTGGTGTCGTTGTATCTAAGTGAGACTGGAACTTGGTGCGAGACCACCGATTCAGAGAGGCACTTTACCTCGAAAAGCATTTACCAGATGCTGGATTCAAAGCCGTTCCTCGCATCAGCTATTGCCCTAGCGTCTCGGCAGCACGATGCTGTCCAGGACCAGCGGCGATCGGTGACTCTGGAGCTCTATCAGTACACGATTCAGCTCTTACTCCGTCAAGACCCAGATAAAGCAGGCGCCCCGGTATTGGCGACTTGCACTCTTCTTTGCGTCTATGAGATGATGGCGTCATGTGTATGGGAATGGCGGCGTCACTTAAAGGTTTGTATCTACGGCTCCTGGGACATCACTTCTGAACTAACTCAATGCCTTCCTATGAGTAGGGTTGCGCCAGTCTGTTACACAATCGGAAATGGAACGGTTCATGCAGTGGTATCGTTAAGTCTAGTTTTTGGGCCTTTGCCCGAATTGGTACGTAGCAGAGCTGAAGACTAAACGAAGTCCGAACCTTAAGGCGCTCATCTGACCTGGTTCCCCTATACATAGATGTCTGGGCTGCATATATTAGCGGCAAAACAACTCTCATCCCTACCGACTCGTGGGTTGATGATAGTTCTATCCCGTCAGTAGCTGCAAAAGGCAATGTTGATGACTATTGCAATCTCGCGATACTTACTTTTGCTCAAATTGTGAACCTGTTGGCAGACGCCAGGCTTTATGAAAAGGATGGCAGTCCTGTCTACTATTCGGCTGTTGGAAAGCTGTGGGACGCACTGCAAGAGTGGCGACGCCTCCGGCCCAAAGAAGTTTGTCCTCTGCTTAGAGAAAGCTCGAGGGGCTCGAATCCGTTTCCCACTGTGGTATTATCCTGGTCATCTGCTAGTATGTCCGCTCTCCTGCCCCTTTCTTCATTGCAAGCGCGCTAAGGATAAAACAGACTGTGGTAATACTTTCTATCATGCCGGGTGTATCTTACTTCTACAAACTGGCTGCCTCGGGGCGCGGGCTAATGCGTTAGGCGTTGAACGGGTGAGTTTCAATGTGTTCTCGAGCTTTTCTCTCGCTGTCTGATGTTCACGGTTTGAGGATGGAACTGTGATTTGCCTACGCAAATATGAAGACATTTTAAAGCTGACGCCTTAATTCCAATGGTAGGATCCTATTTGGCATGCTCGAGAACTAGGCGGAATCTCCGCTTCCAATATATCCCAGTATGTACTTTCACTTTGCGACAGGCAGAAAAGAGCTAATTGGATTCTAACTGAGATAGTTCGAATTGGGTAAATCAACTACAACCACTCTACATCGCCGGCACTGTCTTTGCGGACCGGATGGGGATCTGTTTCCGCGACGCACCAAGACAGACCCAGTGGGCCGGTGCCCCTTGGAGAGTGCCAGTGACCCAGCACGTACCTCTAATGGAGATGGATGACATAGATGAGTATAACTCAGAGAAAATCGCGCTTCTGAGACAACTGGCTCGGATTGAGCGTGAGACCGGTTGGAAAACCTCGGACCGGGCGTTGGACTTGAGGAGACTTTGGGGATTTGGGTAATAGCGGCGCTTCTACCTTGCTGCCGTTGAATGATTATATTTGAAACCTGTTTCTCAAGTCCGTGCATGCATTTGTAGGTCGCGGCCGCTAGCTTCAAAGTTATAACATTTGAAGCTACCCACCTTCATTTTGTTCGCTGAGTGGAAGTTGGGCCACCGTGGCTCCTTTATCGCATCAGCTTCATCTCTTAGTATCTCTTTCCATGGCAAAGAGCAACGCTATACTTCCTTATCTAGCTTGAAGCTTGTCAAAGTTAGGCAGCGAAGTACGGTTCGAGTGAACTTGAAGGGGGTTCGGTGGAGATGGCTGTCCACTGGGGCATCCTCGGCCTGCCACTAGAATGGGGCGACGCTCCTAGAGAGGTGAATTTCCTCACATTAACCGCAGAGAAACCTAACAACATGCGAAACCGCACACGAAACTACAAATCAGAAGCTTGTAGAACTACAACGAGTGCTCTAGAATGGATCTTTCACCAGCAATGTCAACTAGAGCCAGCCACAGATTCGTGCTGGGCACTTCCTTATCAGCATGAAGACGATAGTTGTAACTTTTCAAGCCCGAAGATCTCGTGGAGTTCTCAGAAGATACTGGTGTTGTTCAACAACAGGCTGTAGCGGAAGCACGGGCGCTCTTATGGAATGTGAGTTCCAGAACACAGGTCAACCCGACCTCGCCTGAAAGTTCAACTTACCTGGCCCCACTTTTCACGTGACTCAAGTCAATGCTCAGTTCACCGGGTCCCACTATTTTGCTTATTAAACGTATTAGGAGAGTTATCTGAGCAAGCTGAGATAGTATGGGCTAGTAATCCTGTTGGGCGAATAGACAACGAGATGAGGTCAAGCGGAACCAATCTTGGATGAGAAGGTTGATTGATTGAAGAAAGAACGAATGTGATGGGGCAGGTTGAAATACCCCATAGATGGCGAAGATACACGGTGTTACGAGAACCGTAATGCCGAAGATACCAAATTACTATACAAAAGGCAAAGAAAAGTGGGTCACTCAGTATAACCCCTGTCTAGGTGGTAAGTTACCGCTCCATGTCTCGACAAGAGTTCTTCTAATATTGTGGGTGCCTAAGAGACTTCACGATTCAGAACTAAGTTTATTTGTCTTTTGCCCTGTGGCTCGTCCCACATGTTGTATTTTACGCCAAATAAAATTTGGATCAACACCCTCCCGGAGTGATACGGTGGATTGTGCCTTTCGCAGCTCAGATTTCATAGACAATCTTAAAGGCCGAGACCTTCCCGTCTCTGTGTTCCTGGAATCCTTCGGGCACGCTGTTCAGCCCCTTTCGGGACTGTGGCTGGTTGGGCCGGAGAGTTCTATCATCCAACCACGCAGGGAGCTTCTCAAAAAGCTCACTGGCAAGCTCATGATCATCCTTTGAAGCCTGTAGTACTATGATGAGAACCGTATCAAGTTATTAGAGAGAGGGAGACATAGCGTTCTCTCGAGATGCGTATGCTAGTAAGGAGGGTACCTACAGGCCATTTGAAATCACCGTAGCTGTGATCTTTTAAGAAGGCAGTCCATACCAGCACGTCTGTAACATTTGTTCCAGGAGCGACATTTTCTGTGTTGGCCTTGCCCGGGCGTACAGTGCACAGATGCCCGGCTCCGCTTTTGAAAACACGAGAGGCAATTGTAGATGAAGTTGGGTTCCCGATCGTGTCGAAAACATGTAATATTCCTGGCTCAGATGCCTGGATCTTTTGGATGATATCTTGATCCTTGTAGTCAAAAACATGTTTAGCGCCGAGTGAGCGAGCCAACTCAAAATGCTTCGGGCTGCAGGTTGTCACAACGTTTATGCGATACATGGAAGCGAGTTGAATAGCATACTGGCCCACGCTCGCTACAGACCGTCAGCGAATAATCCAGTCGGGGATCCAAGCGAAAGCAAACTTACAGCTACCGCCCCACACCAGAATGCTGGTGCCCTTAGCACCGACCCTCTCGATCCCCAGGCAGGTTTTAGAAAATAGGGCAAGCCAAGCAGTGGCGGCGGCTAACGGAACAGTGCTCGCCTGCTCACGCAAGATCGAACGAGGTAGACAGAATGATATCTTGTCATCGGCCACGCAGTAATGACTGTATGCACCCAAACCGGGAATTTCGCCTACGATCCACCAGGCCGTGAGCATGAAATCAGCCCCAATCTTGAGATCCGAATCAAGAGACTCGGAAACCTTGATCTTGAGTACTCACCTCCCCAGATCAAGCCAGCCACAATATCACCCTTGGCAAATCGTGTGACTTGGCTTCCTAACTCGACAACTTCTCCCACGAAGTCGCATCCTAGAACAGCCCCATCGCCAAAAGCATTGCTGTCAAAGGCTTGTACTGTGAGGACCGATTCAAAGTTAACAGGCTAAAGGCTATGGATATCTGCAAAGGAAAGACGCACCATCGGTCGGGTTCTGCGCCACATGCGATACTTTAACAAGCACCTGATTCGCTTCCGGAGAAGGAATTGCAATATTCTCCTGCGACAGACTCGGCTGGTTCCCGTTGGCTACACGCACAACGACGGCGGAATTCTTGGCCATCCTGATATTTGTCAATGGAGCCGGCTAGGTATAGAAAGAGGGAATTTGCAGGTAAGGAAAAAGGTGTAAAAAAGGGAAATTCGTGTGGCACTAATTATATCGCACCGAGTTCTGTCAGTTCGTCCTCTTAGAATCTATCAGATGACGTCACGGCGGTTGCACTTGCTTCAGTTGAGCTGCGTAGCGGTATGGGGCTGCGGACACCTGCCGAGCTAATTGTGTACTAAGCGCCATGATTCGTCGGCGCAGCACAATAACGACCTGATTTGTGAGCACCAAAGAGCTATCTACTAAGCAATACGACGCCGCTTGTACGTTCCTGTCGGTCGGTCTACAGTCTACACGACGCTACAAGGTGATCTTTGACCTTAGTAATGCTCAAATTGACTTGAATTCAACATAGTGCTTATGAAAGTGCTTTCAGACGAAGCCTAACAGCGGTTGGATATGCTGAAAGGAAAAGGACATGGGATAATACGCGCGTTCGTGACAAGGGCCTAGTCTTCGAGAAAAGGGTGTATTTCGCAGCGAATACCAACACTGAGACGAGGGAAGGAAAAAGTTGTGGAATTGATGTGCCCACCTTCCTACAGTCTGGTGCCCGCTAACTACATTGCTCAAAATATCCACTCTATCTATGCACTGTTCCTTTGCATCAAAACTACGACCTCGCCCGGTCTAGGCGCATGCCTCTGAACATGAATTCAGACTTTCGGTCCGTTGCCCTCGCTGTAGTATCTACCTTTCGCAGGCAAAGAAACAACACTCCATGGGGTGCGAAGGCCTCCAAGGCATGCCGGCCCTGCCAGCCTAGTTCCCATGGAATGATTCCATTACGGTAGTAGACGAAAAGAACGTCCGTACATCCTTCACAAACAAGTCTGGTCGTTCCAGGGACGAAAAATGCCCGCCACGTTCATACTCTTTCCAGTACTGGATGTTTGCTGCCTGTGCAGCCCAGTCCCGGGGACACTTAAGTAAAAGCCTTGTTAGTGCCACTCGAGGGGAAAAGTTCCAAGAGAGTCGCGTCATGTAGTTGACTTACATGTAGTTGCTCCTTTGTATACATGCTGACCCCCGTAGGTACCGACAGGTACGTCTCAAATGTTTTCTCTGCTTCACGCTTGCTGCTACCGAATGCTTCCCGGTAGAAACGCAGCCCAGGTGTCGCACCTTGAATCCAGTGCATCATCACCAAAGTGATGATATCGGTGTCACTGAATTCCTCGTAGACGTCTCCCCAGTCGTGAAATTTCTCGACAAACCACGCCAATAGGCCAACCGGCGAGTCGCCCAATGCGAATCCTAGAGTCTGTGGGCGAGTCTTTTGCTGCTCCAAATAGCCGCTCTGATCTTTTTCAAAATTTTCACGCACTGCCAATGCCCGTCGCTCGAAGTCTGAGTATGTTACCGCAGCGAAGCACCACCGGAGATAGGCTAGAGGGGCCGACGTGAAGGTGGGAGGAGGCACTGGGAACATGTTCAGATGTTGGCCCCGCACAAGCTGAGGAAATTGAATGGCGATTGACCGAGTGATGAAAGATCCGAAGTCGCCGCCCTGGGTCACGAATCGAGGATAGTGCAGGACATCGGCCATGAGAATCTTGTAGGCTCGCGCAACCACTTCGGGGCCAACGCCTGACTTGGTCGGAGCCGGCGAAAAGCCAAAGCCGGGGATGGAAGGGGCAACGAAATGAAAGGATGGATCACTTGCACTCTCAGGTTGGGTCAGAGGATGAACAATTCGCGCTGCCTCAACAAAGGAGCCAGGCCAACCGTGCGAGAACAGAAGGGGCATCGCGTTTGTGTTCGTGGAGCGATGGTGGACATAGTGTAGTACAAGTGAACCATAGCCGGGGACATCCACCTTCACTATGAAATGATTAAACACCGCATTCAAGCGTTCCTAGTGCGTCCACGTCAGTACATACCCGTCTGCTAGCACGAGCATAGTGTCAACGCACCTCTTCATCTTCCCACCGATACTCATCTCTCCAGAAATCGGCCAACTCCTTGACTCGAGAGACTTTGGCACCTTGCGCCCAGTTGCTTTCTGCAAAATCAGTCTGCTCCTCTGGATATCGAGCTAGCGCCAGCTTTTGCTTGGTCAAACCGAGCAGGTCACGATCCACGTGCAGTTTATAGGGCACGGGGACGTTGAATTTCAGTTCTTGCAGGGGAATGGGAGATTTCAACCCCATCGTTGCAGCGAGAGGCTGGAGGTTTTAAAGATTGTATGATCGGGCACGCAACAGCGACGCGGAGAATCACTGGCAGTCTTAAATTTCACTGCTTCGGCTGGGGAAATTTAAAAGCACTTGAAAGTCGAGAGCCGAATAAAGAGTTGACTCATCTGAGCTGCGTGGGCGTGGAATGTGAAATTAATTATATACATCGCTGGCCCTGTAGCAAATGGCTCGAGCCACCTTCCATAACTCTTGCAACTGCACGCCGGCACACCACCATACCAAAAAATTTACCCCTAGCGGTTGGGAAGTTCAAGGCAACTGGAAGCATCATAACCTTGGCGGCTAGACTTGCAGACTCCACCGAAGGTTTACGTGATAGACCTAGCCAGCCAATCAGCACTTTATAATTGGTTCCGGATCCGTCGCGGATCATGTGCTCCTCAGTTGACTGTTCAGACAGGCTATTAAAGTTTGCTTGGTTGTCTTACTAGCACGAGAGCAGACTAGTTGTCGGATGCACGCACCCACTCAATAGTTTCAAATATACTGCGTCCACTACATACTGTACATGCTAACAAATTATATGCAAAAGGTGAGCGACTTAGGGCTACAAGTAATACATACTTGAATACTGAAAAAACGAGCTGGTGACATGGACTGGGTCATGCTTGTTTCGCGGTGTTGTCTGTATGGATTGTCAGGTCCTGAGGGATGTCCATGAGGAAGCACAAGAAGAACAACAAGAAGAGAATAGGTAAAGGGAGCAATAAGCCACCTTCAGGCATCGTTCCAAGATAGCTTTTATTCTTACTCATTCCTTGTATCTTCTTTTCTACATTTTCGGTCGCTGAATACAGTGTCTATTCAATTCCTTCGATGGAGTAACGGTATCACCTAGCTTCGCGAGAAGATACGCAATACATTGAGATTGGTCTCAGCTGGTGCTTTGTTTAGCTGCATCTATTGCCAACCACCTGTGTTCTATCATGCCCCGACCTGCCTGTACAGACCAGGCTGCCTCGGACTTCCCGACTTTATTAATAATAATTCCCTGTGCCACTGGTGCCAGGCAGTCTAATTGCTCCCTTTATCCATTGATGACTGGTCATGTAAGGATTCAGCCAGTGAATTGATACTCAGCAAATCCTGACCAGAAAAGGTGTGTCTGGCAAGACGAAAAGTTGCCAACGCAAATACGCACCTAGTCCAAGGAACTGATGAGATGAACTAGGGTGTGATGGAGATGTGGCCTAGTCAAACTACCTATGAGGGAAACCAAGGCTATTCCGAGAACTTTCAGCAAGTAATGCTATGATGGTAGCAGGTTCAAGAAGAGCTACAATACAAATACTCGTGAGACAAGAATCTCCACCCCCTATCCTGCGAGTTCTTCCTAGCATCGCCTTCCCTTCTCCGTTACGGATCATGCTTGTAGACGACCATCCACGGCTTCCTGCATGTTAAACTTGCACGTCCTCCTTTCTAACTTCACGAATCGCTTTCTCCTCAGAGTGACTATGGGAAGAACTCATATCGTTCCCGTTGCCATCAAGGTCAACAACATGCCCATGTTGTTTCAGTTCAGCGGCAACCTGTTGAGCGTTCTTCACGGGGTTCCCACTACGGGAGAAAACGTAGTCGATATCTTCCAGCCGCAAATTACTCGTTTCTGGGAAGAAGAAGTAAAATGCCGGCACAAAGAGCGCATTTGTCACCATGAAGATAAGGTATGCCTTCCAATGTAGCCGGCGGATAATCACCGGTGTGATCATGACGACAGTGAAATTCCACAGCCAGTTTGAACTGATGCCGACTGCAGTACCACGAGTGCGGGCGTCCAGGGGCAAAATTTCCGGCACATAAACCCATGGCACACAGTTCACGCTCATTCCAAAGATAAGCATGTACAAGAAGAAAAATGCCACGGCGCCAGATGAGTAGGTGTGTCCGTTAGGCATATCGCCTCGTGACAACAGAGCGGAGATCATCAGCATGCACAAACTCAGGCCTGCACAACCAGCCATCATTGTCTTTCTCCGGCCCATACGGTCAAGATAGAAAGAGGGAATGATCGATCCGAACATGAACATCATGTTAATACAGCCACCAAGAATTTGGGCAAGCTTTGGCGAGAGGCCAACATTCTGGACGAGGACAGCTATGAAAGTCACAAGTTAGCTATATGTCGCATTTGCAAGGAAAAGATCGATCATGAACGAAATTTTCACTCACATGGCGCGTAGTAGACAACAAGGTTGATACCTCCTGCTTGGTTCATGAACTGCACCAGCCAAGCAAGAATCACACGCTGTCGGGTTTTCACCCTGTCGTTGCGGAAAATGCTCAGAAGACCGCGTGACGTATTTTCACGCGACTCTAGTTCAATGGCACCCAATATAGCATCACGCTCGGCAATAATGTATTCGTCCGTGGGCTCGCGGTCGTATACCCTGCAAAGGACGTCCAACGCCTCGGCAGATTTGCCATGTTTATAGAGCCAGCGAGGCGACTCGGGGAGCCCTAGCACAAGGGCAACGACAACAATTGCAAAGATCATCTGAACTGCAATTGGTAGACGCCATGCAATTGAGCCTCCGACAAAAGACATGCCAAAATCAAACCAATAGGCAACCACTATGCCGACACCAACGAAAAGAACCTCCGCCGAGACTAGACGGCCACGTTTATGTTGATCACAAAGCTCTGCCTGGTACCTATACGCAATTGCTGGTTAGTCATTTGGAACAAATGAAGACAGAATAACTGGGACAGAACGGAGAAGAAGAGAAGGGAAGGGGGAGGGTCCGAGAATCCAAATGGCACAAAAAACTAACATAGGCACCGTTGATGTCTTAATGCCGGTACCGCAGCCGGTAACTAAACGACCGACAATGAGATGTGGCACCGTGAAGGCTGTCGTCTGCAATAT